CACACTCCCCCATATGGTGCACAGCCCTCACTGCTAACAACAGCAGCAGGAGGAGGGGGCACTCGGGGTTCTCATGCCCTGCATAGGTACTGGTGCCTGACAGGGCGCAGCTCTAACCAGCACTGAGTGTTAGGGTGAGGAGCGTAGCCTACCTGGCCCGTCTCTATCACGAGGGCTCCATGTGGTGTGCCAGCACTTACCCGGCACCAAGGGAAGCCCTGTGCTGGAGCCGGCTGCCCTCCCCACCACCTGCTACACAGGCCATGGGAATGGAAGGAGCACTACCCCCTGCTTCCTTGCAGAGGCTGGGAACCTGCATGACAGGGGTTGGCAAGTGATAGAGGCAGGCTAGCCAGGCTGCGCTCTTGACCCCCACGTGCAGCACAGGCTAGAGCCACACACTACCAGGCGCCAGCATGGGGCACAAGTACCCCAAGCACCCCTGCCTGCTGCTGCTGGGACAGCAGGGGGGGTGCGCCATGGTGGGGAGCAGGGAGTGTGTGGGGTCCCTGCACCCCCACCACCATCCCTCACACCCATACCCTGCCCCTGTAACCCCCACCATATACACATCCCCAACATACCTCCCACCCACCATACTCACATACCCCAACCCCACACACACACACACACACACACACACACACACACACACACACACACACACACACACACACACACTCACGACTTGATTTCTGAGTTATTATGCAATCCCCTCTATATACAGTATGCAAACACAAATCATGACAAATATTTTTTGTAATAAATTTAAAATATGTTACAGTAGGCGTTTGACTTTTAGTGTATGATTTGGTTTGATTCTGCTTTCAAGATGGCAGTCATCCCCTCCCAAAAAGAATATTTGGGGGGCGGGGGAAGGGGAGAAACTACCATTAGGGCCTTAAGGGTGGGACTTCTGGTCCCATTATGGTGACTGGGGGAATGGGGCAACTGTCAAAGGGTGGAGCAAAGGCTGTGGAAGGTGGGGCTAATGGGGCTTAGCCCTCCCCCCAAAGCAGGGCACAGCAGTGGGGCCACAAGGCAGCCCAGCCATAGCAGGGGTGGGGAGGGGCTGGGCTGGGCTGCTCTCAGGGCAGGCGCTGGCAGTGCTGAGAGTGGGGTTATGTGGGGGCTACAGCCACCCCAAAATTCACCTTTGCCACCTTTATCCACGGTCGGTGAGTGCTGCTTGCCAGGCACTGCGCCCATGTAGAGGGTGCTGACTCCTTCTGCAGATTTTGGAGCCTCTCCCTTCCAAGCTCCCCTCCCAGCGCTACCACCACCTGCCCTGAGCGCAGTGCAGCCCAACTCCCCCTCCAGGAAGAGCTCGTCCCCAGCCCATAGCCCACCCTCATCCCACACGCAAATCCCAGGCACACGGCTCCCATGTCCTCCCCAAGTGGCCAGGTGCCCTGTGGACAAGCCATTTGCGGCTCTGTCCTGCGCCCCGCCCTGGCTGTGCAGGGCCTGCCTCTGTCCCAGCCCCACTTCCTCCCTTGCTGCTGGGGCAGGGGGTGGAGGTGGGCAGATAGAGGCCCCAGCAGTGAGGGGAGAGAGCAGGGCACAGGCAGGATATGGGGCTGGGGTGAGTGGGTTCTGCCTGTGCCCCACTCCCTCCCTCACCACTGGGGCCTCTGTCTGAGTGCCCCGTTCCCCATGGCCTTTCCCCCACAGACTTAACTGCTGTGGGGGGCGGGGTATGCGCACACATGCTCAGCCCCACCCAAAATATTTTTTTTTCTCCTTCCGCCTATTTGGTGGAGCTACCCATGCAGCTCTCGACAGCTCATCAGAACTTGTTAAGTGGCCTTCCAACCAAATAATTGTCCGTCCCTGTTCTAACCTGTTGTTCTCTTTCTGAGTTTTTTGCAACCAAAGAATTGCTGTATTTATTTTTTCCGTGGTCACAAAACAGTAAAAGCTAATGGCTGTTTTTTTTTCCTTGGGGTTTCTTAAGTCTGAAATGATTGAGTCTTCTATGTAGGACTTTAATAATCTCAGAGTCCTAATAATATAGATCTCAAGGAAACATTTAAATTGTTTTATATAATGAAAACTTGATGAGCTGAACAGTCTCTTATATCTAACTACCCATTATAGGTCTTTATTTGAACTATAGTGTTTCTTCCCTTGTCTGATATTCAGATCTGTACTTACTTTAGATTAGTCATACACCAGCTGCATTCATAACAGGTCAAGTAAATTTAGAGGCTAAGCTGAACAAATATAACATGGACGTATTGCATAAGTTGCACATGACACCTGTGTAAAAAACTGCCTCTTTATGTTCAGCTGCTTATGAAATATTTTGTATGAATATCTTCCCTCATCTCATAGAACTAGAATTTCCAAAATGGTTTGGTTTTGGCATTAAGTAGGTTTTTCTGCTATGCAGAGGAAGTGTTGTGTGTGGCCTTTGTGTTTTTTTAAAGAAGTGCAGTCTACTTAATTGCCTGATGAGTTCCAAATAGTTGATCTTCTTGGAAAATCTAAGTTCAAATGTTGTCCTCTGTGAGCAAACAAGATGCCAGTAATTGATAGCTACTGGACTTGAATTATTTCAATGAATTTAGGAAGGTCCCTTGTGATTTTTCACATAGGCCACTACTGAAATTGAGGGAGAAAAACGTTTCTGGTTACTTTCTGTAAAGTTTTATTTTTATTTTTTTTTTAAAGCTTTCTAGTAGCTAGTTAACATATAGACTACTCTGTTTAAAGTGCCAAAAAGGAGAGTGAGTAGGTTTCACCATCTTTTCTGAATGCCTTGTACCAAAACTTTTTTTTCCTTCAGAATTGGTGTTTGGTTAATCCTTTGCTTTTAGACTTTAGTTTCTTTGGATACAGAATAGTCCACTGTTTTTTGCATCAAATCTGCTTGTACCATTGTTGAGATCACCCGCTTTTTGACACGCACACCATTTTAATGCTAATTATAATATTAATACTTAGAATTGTGGAAACCTCATTTTCTTCATTTCAGTATTTCAAGTAGCTGAAAGATCTAGCAAAGGCCGAAATCAGTGGGCCTAGAAATGTACTCTGTCATGTCACACAAGCAGGGTGACCATAAGGAAATCCTCAACACCTGGGACATTCATCTAGAACAGGGGCAGGCAATTATTTCAGGCAGAGGGCTGCTTACTGGGTTTTGGCAAGCCATTGAAGGCCGCATGATGGGCAGCCGGGGCAGCTAAATATTAATTTTCTAAATTTTTTAGGGGACCCACAGGCCGGATAGAATGGCCTGGCAGGCCGCATCCGGCCCACGTTTTGCCCACCCCTGATCTGGGATGCCTGGGACACTGCCTTCCCCCCCAACTTCCTCTGTGCTCTCATAAGTTAGCAGGGGCAAGGTGGCATGTTGGGCAGGCAGTGGTGCCTGCCTGCTCACCTGCAAGGTGCTCTGCACTGCTCTGACTCCTGGCCAGACTGCACCCTGTGCTCCTGCATTTCCAAGGATGCCCATTATAATTCTCAACAGCCAGCCAGGACCGGCCTCTGATGTCTGTGACTGTCGTGGCTAAACCGGGACATATGGTCACCCTACACATAACCATGATGGGAACAAAAATGAAGAATTTTCTTTTTGACACTTCTGACTGTCTTCACTAATGCTTCTATGGAATCATTCATCTTTGTAGCTTAATACATCTCCTTGAAGCTTCATGACTTTTTTTACCTGTACATCCTGTGTTGAACTTCTCAGACCTAAATTCATTTCGGAATTGCTTTTCTGATTTATATTAATAAAGGTTTTCTCTGCAAATGGAGAGGATTTTCCTACTGTGTCCTTCTTATCCTGGAAGACTTTGTGGAGTGAAAATCTGGGCAATACTGGCTGGATAGCCTTCTGGGAAATTACAACTTTCTTTAAAAATTTGTTTGCTAGTAAATAGGCAGCAGTGGGGCTTATGGTGTTCAGAAATTTTTCTAGTGGAAAGTTTGATGAAGGATTAAACCTGGTTATTTTGTTAGAGGTTATTGATGCAACATTTGGTCATTCTTTTGATAGGAAATGCAAGTACAGAACTTATTGATAACGGGAAATCTTCAGCACATGCATGACATTTTTCACAAGATGTTCAAAATCAAGTTGAGAACAGTGTGTAATTCTTGCCTTGAAGCAATTATCTTTAAGCATATAGTTGATTTCATCTAATGGACACTTGGTCGTGCAAGATTAAATGAGCATGGTATTTCCTGTTCAATTTTCCTCTGTATTCTTATTGGAAGGGTCTTTTTCTATCACTTTCATGTTCTTGGTTTCCAACTAATACAAGTGGCAAACTTGTTCCAAAACCCAAATAAATCTACATGCTAACATTTTTCAAGTACTGATCTAATTGGCTAATGTAATTACATTGCAGTCACTTTAAGAATAACATGGGAACCAACTAAAATGAATTAGTGAGTAGAAAAAGAAAAGCTGTCTATAATAATTTATTTATATATTTATGACAGATTTTGATTATTTAGCTGTAGGAAAGGTGCACAGTAGTGTAGTAGAACCTGTGTTATCCAGAACTATTGGAAAGCATTGGCAAAAGTTTTCAGAGAAGCAGGATAGCTGGTCTAGTAGACTTTGAAATCTGTACCACCCTGCTGCTCAGTATCCCCAGCGCCCACTGGCTCAGTAGCAGGAAGAGGTGGCATTTGTGGTCTTGACTGGGAAATCCTGTATGCAGTGAAGATGATGGTAGGAGAGGCTTGGTAAATCTAGAGACATAATTGAACACTGTCAGCCCAGGTGTGGTCAGATGCACTTATGCTTTAATTTGTGTCGTCTTGTCAGTTTACTACTTCCTCTTTGAATCCCTTTGTCAGTCATTTGTTTTAACAGATTGGATTAGATTTCTGGTACTTGTCCTTGGTTCCTTATCAAGTTCTAATACAATAGAAAATGGAAATAACTAAAATGCAGAGCTATAAGCGTTTCTTTAGGTTATCAGATTCAGTGAGATTTGATTGATCACATTTGATTTTGTTTCTTTCCCATTTAGTACAAAAATAGAGAAGGAGAAAAAGGAGCATGCTAAACTACATGGAATGATCCGCACAGAAATAAGTGGAGCTGAAATTGCAGAAGAGATGGAGAAAGAAAGGAGGTTCTTTCAGCTACAGATGTGTGAAGTAAGATTTAACATTGAATACAAATGTTCCATTATACTTCAAAAAGGGACATTTTGAGAAAAAATGCATCCTTGCCTTTTAGCAACTGTTGTGCTTGAGGGAAAGATGCACCATATTATTTGATTTAGGATTTTAAAATAAACCTCACCATTCTGACCTGCTAGCTTTGCAAAGAATTTTAGGTTCTTTGTTGATTTTTACATGTTGATACACTGTAGATAACTAAATGTATAACTTAGTCAATTGCTTTGAGTTGAAGGATCAGTTGCTTTGCAGTGTCAATGAACTCCAAATTATTTTAAGGTGCAGAGGATTCTCTCATTTGTTCCCTTAAAAATCTTGTCTACCATGTCTTTAGGTTTGTATTTGAAAAAAATAAGGCCATTAGGAATGGATACCAGTTACCTTTTCGTGTTCTTAAGGAAGTTGCTACCAGTAACGTTGTTTTATAATTATGCAGCATTTGACAGTAGTTTTTAAATACAGTATTTTTTCCTTTGGGATTTGTGCAGCAGGGTGATAGCCTTTAAAACCCTATGTAAGCATTCAGGCCTCTTCTGCTGAGTCACTTCAGGCTTCAGTCCAAAGGTGCCTCCTTTACTTTGGTTGGAGCTAATTTGATCCAGATACCAAACTCACTCGGCCACAGTTGCCCTGACTATCAGTGTACGGATTTAGTATGCAAGTCTTTGATAATTCAGGGCTCTCATCTTTATACAGAGTGTAAGAGTGAGATCTTTCAAAATTAGTAAAGGGTTTGGATGGCTAATTCTCATCAATATTAAAAGGGAATTAAGTGATCAAATCCCTTTTAATTCCCTTTAACAGTATTAGGCATAGTACAAGGTAATGATCCTACTGTTCCTGCAACATTGGAAAATTCTAGGAAGAAGGTTCTTATTTACAGGTCCTACCTTGGAGACTTAAAGCTTCCTTGAGCCTCTTTCATTGTAAGAAGTTAAAAATATTTTATGTTAAGGTTGCTGGATATGTTGATCCAGTTGCCTTAATGTGCTTGTTTCTCTTGAATAATCGCATTAAAATACAGCATTGAAAAATCTGCTTGAATACAGTGATATTTTAGTATATTTTATTTTAATCGTTCTGAAAGGATGAAATATTGCAGGTACTCATGGGAGACTGCATTCATTTGGAGGTTCTTAGTAAGCTGTAGGCTCCTTCACTTGCAGGTCACCAATTTGAATTCTGCCTTGCTTGGTAGGAATTAAAAATTGTTCCTATTGAATACATATTGGTGGATCCTGCACAAGAGTTCAGTAAGGCCCAGTTCTGGCTCCTATGTCTCAAATTTGCCACCATTCTCTGTATTAAACTCTTAAGTTCTTTTGAGCTGTGTTGGTTTCTGGCTTTGGGCTTGTGCACTGCCTTTCACAGAAGGTTCCTGATCATGACAAGGTTTCTAGCAAGTGTTCCTTCCAAAGGCCCCAGACTTGTGAAACTTGTGAAAACTGGCCTCATGATTCACAGGGGGAACTCAAAAATCAAAATAAAAAGCAAAGACACTTTAAACAAAAACAAACAAAAAAATAAAACAATTGTGGGGCAATATTGATGCCCTTTTGCATGCAACCACATTTACTGCCAGACCGTTGTGTTGTAGAGATGAGCCTTGGGCCAGATTCTCTCACATGAGGGATGCAAGTGAACTTGGGGACCTAAGCGTGACTCTATTCCCGTCTCCTTCAGTCCCTGCAAAACAGTTAACACAAAAGGTGGGAGGGCCTTGCTTCTTATCACTCTTTTGTAACCAGTGTTCCCTCTCAGGAGTAGCAGTCCATGAGCGTGCTGCCTCGGTCTGCTGTGGGACGCTTACCGAAGGGGGCTGGAGCCAAGAGGCTGGGACCGGGGGCTGGGGCTGGAGGCTGGAGCCAGGGGCTGCTGCAGGATCCACCGGCTCCGGGGAAGTGCTCCGCTCCCCCACATCAGGGCTAGGGAGTGGAGCACTTCCCCAGAGCCAGCTCCCTGCACCAGCCTCCATCCCTGCCTTGCCTCACCTGGGGGAGGAGCCACTGCCTACCCCAGTGAGGCTCGGCCGGCTCCGGGACACTGCTCCGCTCCCCGGCCCTGATGCCAAGTGCCTCCTCTCTCCCTGAGGCCATGCGGGGGAGCAGAGCAGTGTCCCGGAGCCGGCCGAGCCTCACTGGGGTAGGCAGTGGCTCCTCCCCCAGGTGAGGCAAGGCAGGGATGGAGGCTGGTGCAGGGAGCTGGCTCTGGGGAAGTGCTCCACTCCCCGGTCCTGATGCGGGGGAGTGGAACACTTCCCCGGTGCCAGCCAGGCTCCCACCCACACCTCGCCTAGGAGCTGACCTTCAGCTCCTCTCCTGGTGCGCAGCCTTGAAAAGGCTGTGCGCAGCCACACTTTTAGTTGTGCACGGCTGCGCATCTTAGAGGGAACCTTGTTTGTAACTCCGTCTTAAGGGTAAGATCATGGTGTGTTATGAAAACAGATGTATTATCAAGAACTTAAACAGGGTGAAATAGAATCAAACTGAAGTGTCCCTTACATTTCCTGTGAATCTGACTTGCAGTAGGCCTGAAAAATTTGAAATACCAAAATTTTAACTTCATCATAGTCAAGTATTCTAACTGGGTATTGAGACCTAGCACTGACACCGGTTGCTTGTGTGAAGCCCTGAAATTTCCCTTCACCATGCTCAAAGTTTTCAGGTTCTCTCAATGTGCTGTTTCTGGGGAGATTTAAATTAGGTTGAAAATAAACTTTAAGGGTCTTATCACACTATGAAGCAGCAAATAGTGTGTCACTAATTTTATTTGTTAATTATGTTTTAATAGTACCTGCTGAAAGTCAATGAAATCAAGATTAAAAAAGGAGTTGATTTGCTTCAGAACCTGATCAAGTATTTCCATGCACAATGCAAGTAAGTTTGATTACACAACCTCTTGAACAATATTTTGCATTTTCCTGGTGGTAACAATTATTTTTCTAAAAATATTTTCCTGCATCTTAGATCTAAGAATCAGTTGTACAAATTTAGCACTAGTATTTTTGACAAACTGGTTTGGCCTAATAGATAAATTACTGTTTATTTGCTATGTTACTTAACATGAAATGAGGCATTAGATGGATCTCATACTATGGCATGTATTTGGCATGTTCAGTAATATGTCTAGATTGGTCTACTGGCTGTCTGATCTTTCAGAATGTTTCTGGCAATAAGTTAAATTACTTTTGCTCTATAAACATAAATAGGGTAAACAACAGGGGAAAATTGTTTTGAGAGAATGGCTTTATCTCCAGCTCAATGGAGAACTTCTAAAATAAACACAGAAGACCTCATTAGACAACTGAACTTGGTTGTTTGGGTTTTTTGACAGATCTGTTATATAACAATAAACTCATTGCTATAAAGTGAGCAACAAGTATCACCTGTTTACATTGATAAATAGACCTATCTTCCAAGCATTCTGTTGGGTTGTCTTAAAGTAATCTTTCTACACTATTAATACTGTCAAATCAGTTTCATGGCTAATCTGTGTCATTCATGTGTATTTTGCTTTTCATTGAGCTTGAACAATAAAAAAAACCTTGTTGTTTTCCCATCTGGTTTCCAATGCTGTAGTGTTTATGCTCTGAACATTTCAGAGAAAGGTTTAAGTTGTGTGTGGTGCAGCTTTCTTCAAAAATATTGAACACACTTATCTTCTTTTTTTTTTTTTTAGAATTAAGAACTGGAACATATAGCAAAATAAATGCGACTCTGCTTGCTATGCACATGCTCAGGCTGGCTTCATATCAAAACCTTGACAAATGTTTGAGTCTCTGAATAACAAATGGATCTTCCTTTCTTTAGGAAGGTCCTTGTAAGATATAGACCTTTAAAATTATAATTTTTTTGTATATATAAATGCTGTTGCCAATCTAAAACGAAATCTGGTCTATTTTGGGCTTTGAGAAAAGGTAGGGAGGAGGAAGAAAGTCCACAGTCGAGGTTAGGGAAAGTTTTTTTTATAGTGTGTGTCATATCCAGGGATCCTGTTTTTCTTTGATTTAAAAAAAAAATCCCCAATTTTCATATTAAAAACCCCCCCAAATCCACATTTTTCTCTGATAAAAATGAAACACCACTCTGTGTGTGTGTGTGTGGGGGGGGGGGGGGGGGGTTTTTTTTGTGGTTGGGTGTGGGGGGGGGGGGGGGTGTTCATTTTAGTCATAGAAAAAATGTAGATTTTGAGTTACTTTTTTTATATGAAAATTGGGGATTTTTTTAATAGGAGAAAAGCAGGATTCTGGATATCATTTTCAGCGTGATGTTTTGAAGGTACTTATAGATTGTAAGAATGAGTTTATAAAGTGATGCAATTGTGGGTGTGGAACTGGTGAATTGGTTAAAGCTGCATGAAAAATGAGTATATCCTGCAATCTTGCTGTTTGTCACGGATACCACTTTTGTGTTTTATGGAGTCTGTGTGCATATACCTTTTTCAGCGTCAACAGTGTCTCTCTTCAGCGAAGTGTTTGTGACAGAAAAGACAGAAAAGATCAAATATTTTAAACTAATTCTAACCAGAATGTTTCCTTTCTGCATTGCTCCCCACGCACAAAAGTTTCTTTCAGGATGGATTGAAAGCAGTTGAAAGTCTCAAGCCTTCAATTGAGATGCTCTCAACAGATCTTCATACAGTAAGTAGTAACCTGCTATGTTGTTGGTGTAAAGATGGCTTACTAAAGAAATAAAAATCTTTCTGGTGAAGATGTATTGAGTAGCTTCACAAGGTTCTTTGGGTAGATGTGATACTTTTTATTAGACCAACTAAACAGTTGGAAAAATTGTTCTTTGCAAGCTTTCGGGCACAAACACCCTTCTTAAGGCATAGGAAGAGTTTGCTGCTGTCTTGGGCACTCTCCTGGGTGGAATAGAAGCCAATATGCAAAATGAAGGTCTGTGAAAATGCAAATGTGTGGCAGTGAGGATAAGAAGGAATGGGAGACAATAGGTGTGAGACAGGTAGAATGCAGGGTAAGGGGGTAGAATGCAGCTGGTAAAATGCAGACAGGTTACCTGGGGTTATCTGATGGCAGGCAGGTTATAGTGTGCTATAAATCCAATGCCTATATTTAGTCTGTGATTTTTTTGTATCTGGTAGATTTATGAAATAAAGCTCATAGGCTCATCTATGACAGGTGTTTTGTAAATTCCCTTTGAGGATTAGAACTGAGAGATTGGAGAGAGAGTGGTTGTCTTGTGAGAAGTGTGTACCCACAGGTAATTGGGTGTTTTTGTCTGATAGTTTTCCAGTGTGTTTATTCTTGTATGCAGCTGTTTTTTGGTTTTTTGTACATATTTTCCATCAGGGCATTGTATTACATTTCTGGAGGTGCAGGTATAGGATCCAGGAATGGTGATGGTTCTGATGTGGGGTGTAGTTGTTGTGGGAGTGGTGGAGATGTGTTGGCAGGTTTTACATTCTTTATCCCGGCATGGTCTGGATCCGTTCATTGTGCTTTCAACTGTAAGAAGTTTGCTTCTGATGATGAGGTTAGTGAGGTTTGGTGCTTGTTTAAAGGCTAGGATGGGTGGTTCTGGAAAGATCTCTTTAAGAATTGTGTAGTTGTCTAGTATGGGTTGCAATTGTTTGAGGATCTTCTATAGAGGTTCAAGGGAAGGATGGTATGTCATAACCAATGGTGTGTAGGGGTGCACCGATTTAAGATTTTTTTGGCCGATACTGATGGCTGATTATTAACCAGCCATATCAGTGGATACTTATCCGATTGCCAGTTATGCAGCCTGACAGTTGAAGAGCAGCATCCAGTCAGTAAGTCTGTCGGGGGAGAAGGGGCATGGGAGGGCAGATCGAGGCCCTCATGGTAAGGGACAGAATGGGGCTGGGGCAGCGGTGGGAGCTGTCCAGCCAGGGCTGAGCAGGGCACAGGATGGAGCTGGAGGCAGCTCATGCAGGGGGCACGGGGAGGGGAAATGGCTCCCCGCTTTTACAGCCCCCCCACCCCACCCCAGGGAAGACATGTAACCCACCCCCATAGCCCCTCCCCCATAATCTCCTCCTTCCAGTGCCACTGCCACCCACTCTGTCCACACCTGCCTTGAGTTTAACCCCAGCCCAGCCCCTCCCACTGGGAAGAGGCTGGCATAGTCCCTGGCCCTGAGCCCACAGTGGGTAGCCCCCTTCACCCTGCACACAGATCCAGGGGCATATGCCTCCCCAGGGGGTGCATGCATTAGTGGGGAGCCTATCCCCTGCACTTCCTGATGAACTGCCCACGGTTCTGTCCTGCACCCTGCCCCAACTGGGCAGTGCCTGACCCGGCCCCATTCTCTCCCTCACTGTGGGGGCCTTGATCTGCCCATTCCCATGACCCTTCCCTTCCTTACACCCCTTCCCCCTACAGACTTACCAGCCAGATGCTGCTTTCCAAATTTCCAGGCTTAATTTCTGGCCACACGCATGCTGCGGTTGCGCACATGCGTACGGCATTTATTGGTGACATTATTGGCTACATAAGCTAAAAAAAAAAGCCAATTGCCAATAATGTCAATTTTCCTTTTATCGGTGCTGATCATATATGGACCAATATATCAGTGCACCTCTAATAGTGTGCAGTTCGTGGGGATTTTCTTTTTGTACTGCAGCAAATCTTCACGTGATATCCGGGTTGCTCTTTCACAAGTACGATCCATCTCTCTGGAGGAATGTTCTTGTTGGGTGAAATCCCTTTTGAGATTTGTGAGGTGACTATTGTGGGTATTCTCCTCAGTGCAAATTTGGTAGTACTGGAGGGCTTGGCTGTATATTGGAGCTTTCTTAATGCATTTAGGGTGATTGCTGGTTCTGTGTAGATATGTATGTTGGTCCATGGGTTTCTTGTAGGTGGTGGTTTGTATTTTACCATTGTGGATATTAATCATAGCATCTAAAAAGGAAATATTGCCACGATTAATATCCAGAATGGTAAAATACAAACCACCATATACAAGAAACCCATGGACCAACATACATATCTACACAGAACCAGCAATCGCCCTAACTCAAACAACAACTGTAGACCAGAATGAATGCATACTAAAAATCTATCAAAAAGAAAAATACCAAATTACCTGTGGGTGCACACTTCTCACAAGACAACCACTCTCTCTCCAGTGTCTCAGTTCTAATCCTCAAAGGGAATTTACAAAACACCTTTCATAGATGAGCCTATGAACTTTACTTCATAAATCTACCAGGTTCAAAAAATCAAGGACTAAATATAGACATTGGATTTATGGCGCATTATACCCTGCCTGCCATCTGATAACCCCAGGTAGCCTGTCTGCATTTTTCCAGCTACATTCTATCACCAGTTCAACATTTTCCCTCCTACCACCTGCCTATCTCACACCTATTGTCTCTCAGGGCCTCTGATCCTCACTGCCACACATTTGCATTTTCACCGACCTGTATTTTGCATGTTGGCTTCTATTCACCCAGGAGAGCATACAAAACACCAGCAGACTCGTCCTATGCCTTAAGAAGGGTGTTTGTGCCCGAAAGTTTGCAAAGAACAATTTTCCCAACTATGTAGTTGGTCTAATAAAAGATATCACATCTACCCAAAGAACTTTGTCTGCCTGTGTTGTTAGACCAACACGGCTACAACCAACAACCTTTGAGTAGCTTCAGCATTTTGTATTTTCAGGAATTTTCAGCTAGCCTGTAAAATAATCAGTTGTTTGTACAGTAGAATCCGGATAATTGATAGGGTTAGGTTTCTTAGCTCAGGCAAAGATGAGGGTTTGAACCAACTAGGGGCATACACAGTGGTAGCAGGAGCTCTCTGGGACTGCTGAGGTGCTCTACTAATTGCAGCTTTTACTTCAAAGGAGTAGAGAAGCAGCACCATTTGAAAAGTGAAAGCCTGAGCAAAAAACTGCCCCATCTCCTTCATTGAACAGCTCCCACTGAATTCAGTGCATTGCCAAACACCCAGATAAAATAAACTGTGTTCTACTGTATTAATGTAGTATCTGGAAACCTTTGTCATAGACTCAGACCCCATCATGGTAGGTATTGCACATGCGCACAAGAAGTCTCTGCTCCAAAGAGTTTACAATTGAAGTGTAAAACAGGAGAGGGAGAGAATGCAGGAAGATGGGTAATAAAAGGAGACTCCATGTCAGTATCAGACAGCAGGACAGGCAGTGGTCTCTACCTAACAGGAACCTAACCATTGTCAAGCTTTTGTACACAAAAAAAAAAAAGAAACTAGCTGAACATATTTCAGGAAATCTAAAGCCAGTTAATCAACAAACTCTAAAGAAAACTGTTACTATAAATTAGTAACATACTGATTTTTAACCTGTGTTTTGTCTGTTTCTGTCCTTCAGATCAAACAAGCCCAGGATGAGGAGAGAAAACAGCTGATACAGCTTAGAGATATTTTAAAATCAGCACTCCAAGTTGAGCAGAAAGAGGTGAGCATAAAAGGTGATTTACCTTAAAATATTATTTGTAAATACATTTCTAATTCAATGATATTTAGAAAGTTGAATACAAACTTTTTTACCAGTCTTAAAATCTGCTCTTTGTTTTTGGTTAACTGGCTTATTTCTGTTTTGATGCTCATATTGGGTGCTTCTGACAGGGTTTTAAAAGAAGGAATCCTCGCAGATTTTGAATGAGAGCTTTTTATAAAAGGGTTTTTCTTCTCGTTTCCTAATATTAGAGATTGAATAGTGTATGCCGTTCTGTAAACTGCAGGCAAATGCTTCTGTCATTCAAACTGAGAATCAAAATACATTGACAATAATCATAAACCCCAGCCAGTAGGGACCTCACATGGTAAATATATTTTATAACGCCAGTAAGAGTGTTATAAACTAAAATAACTTTGAACACATAAATGCTTCCTGCCTCATCTGTAACAGTAGTAATGGCGCTTGATATTCTGCTGCAAAACATCACTTTTCAAAGGTATCAGAATGTTGAGTTAACTGAGTAATCTAATTGACTGAACAGTTTTTCTAATGGAAGGAAAACGTGATCCTCTCCATGTTAACTGGATTGCTCAACTAGATTCAAAATATACTGAAGGAGTGCTAGTCTGCAGCCTGTGGGTTGGATCTGTGCCTATTGTGGTTGATTTATAATCTATTCCTGGATGTTAGGTCTACCAGTGGTTGAGATCTCAAGTGCTTTCTCTTATTTACACAAAATATTTCTCTCTTTCATTCTAGTGCTTGTTGGGTTAATTAATAAAATTGAAAGTATGTCACTTCTGCCCTTTCCAAGCTTCTCCTTTGAGAGAGAGAGAGATTATTGCTAAAATATGAAGGAATTTCCTCTAGAGACTTAATTTATCTCTTTAAGTATGGCTGTGTATTTAGGCTTAATTCAGAAGCTGTGCTGTTCTGGATTCTAGACATGGCAAGCTTACCATGTTGACAGATCAGTAAGCAGTCTTTGATATTTTTGACTCAGCTGCTGTTGGCCTGCAAATTCGGGCAAGGTTGGAAGGATTTTTTAAACCCGAAAGCTTGCTTAAAAATATTTTTTCCAACTATTTAAGTTGTTCTAATCAAAGATATCAGATTCACCCAAAGAACCTTGTCTGGCAGGGTTGGATGGAGTTTTGCAAAGATAGCTTCAGTTCATGGCTTGTCTGCTTTACACAAACTCTTGTTCAGCATTTTGCAGTTTTTTCTGTCATCCCTTGTTTAATGTGTGTCTGTACCTGCCACTGGAGAAAAGAAAATAGGAAGACATTTTATACTTTACTGGCATCAGAATTCTGGTGCCTCAGAGCTGAAAGCTCCTTTGTTTGACAACCGACAGAAGAAGGAGCTTTACTTTTCAATTCCTTGCCAAAGTGAGCAGGGTAGAGTTTGCTTGTGAGTTGACTAAAGTTCAGCCCAGACAAGGCAGAGGTGATGATTTGGAGTTAAAAGAGATAATTAATTTAAAGGGTTATATGTGTCTTACCTTGTTGAGGTTCTTCTGGAACCCAGACGTCTTCTGACATTTCACAGGAGAATGCCGTTGACAGCCTGCAGCCTTTTTTCAATAAGTACAGTTTAAGATGTTGACCTTCAAGTATAAAGCCCTCCATGGTTCAGTCTTGGCTGTATTGAAGACGACCACTTTTCTTTAGGTGCTGGCTTATTGTTTGTGATCAGCTGAGATGCATTCTCTTGCTAGTCATTCTTGTGGCTGAGATCTGGGAAGCTGAATGCAAGTGTGGAGAGCAAGAATACCAGCAAAATTTGCTTCTCCTTTGGGTCAGAGTTTTTGTCATTTGGGACATGTTGCACAATTTTAGTTTTCTCAAGGAGGGTGGCTTGAAGCAGGGTAAGTATCATTGTTATTAAGGAGGTGGTTTCCAGAGCACTCAATGAGCACATTTTACAAATTGAAAAATATGTAATCGTGAAATACGGATCATACAAATTTGTGTGCCCCAAAGTATAGGAAATACAGATTTTGGGGATTATGATTTTAATACTTAAAGATTTACAAGTCATCTTAAAATTTTCCAAAACAAAATGTTGTTATGTTCTTAGTACAACAGTATTGCATCTTGCAAAAGGCATTAAAAGTATGGTTGCTTTTTAAAAATTATTTGAAAAACAAAGTTAACACAGGGAAGCCAGTCAACTCTAATATTTTATTGTACAGCCAACTAACAGTATTTCCATCTATTTCACTGAAATGTAATATCTTGTACTGTAACTAATTTTGTTTCCCTCCTAAAATGCATTTGCCTTATGTGACCGAAGTCTAGGAGAGTAAGTGATTCAGCTTTCTTATAAATAGCATGTGCATGTTTTCTAGTTGGATTTCAAGAAACTGGATTTTTCCACTTAAAAATGTTCATTTTGTCCGTATGGAAAAACTGTTTGTTTTTCTTCTGTATTCTGTGAACTGCACAAAAAATATTAGTTTTTTTTATGGGGAAAGAGAACTTGTGAATGCATGCCAATTTTAATAGACTATTTTTTCCATTAATTGGAAATCAAATCCAGTTGCTTGATTTGGTCTACCTAAGGCCTTTGAAAGATGGTTTTTATTTATATGATTTTTGTGTATGAATTAACACATGTTGTTTCTGTTCCTATTATGTTTTTGTTCTTTTTACATGTTCATAATGAATATTTTTTGTGACAGTAAACATTTCCCCATACCCATGAAGCTTTCCGTGTGTGTACATGTGGCGTGTGTGCACCTTGCCTGTTGCTTCTAATTTTTTTAACTGATCTTTAATTTGAAAAAAATATATATAATGCTTCAAGACCAAGTACAAACCTTGAAATAATAACTTACCTAGAGTTAAACACAACCCTATTAGACTGCATTGTAACTAAAGAACTTCAGAGATTGGAAACTAATTATTGGTCTATATTCATACACTGTTTAGGATTGAATTCTGCTAGGTTACAGTAATGTTATATATTGATCATAGTTAGCCATTGACTCCTTCAGCACTACTGGAATCTGTTCTTAAGTCTTTATTGTGATAGCCTTGCCTTAGGGGAATTTGGAGGGGCCTGCAATACCTCAAGCTGCCGACTGTATGTGCAGACTGTAGAACAGTGTAGTTTCTCAAACACATCAACAGAGATGATCCTGGGAAATCCAGGAAAACCTGGGTTCTTGAAAAGCTGTAGAAGATCAAGGAGAAGAACATTATAAGTAGAAGTAAATGGAGTAGTCGAAATCAACTGACTCATAGGCAGCATGAGCATAATTGGTGCAACTGGCTAAAATCCTGGTGTTATTCACAGTTGTGGAAGGATCAGCTGCTGGAGATAACAATGACCTTTCTTGTTTTGCGGGGCATATGGGGATGGATTGAAAATGTAACTGCTGTTAATAATCCCTTTTATGTTAAAACAGCCATGCTTTGTGTTACAGAAGCCATCCCTTTTTAGGTCTTTTAAAATACAGTTAAAGTTCAGAATAAAACTCTGCACCGATGGTATGTGGAAAGCGAGCTGTTATTTGCCTGGCATACATTAAAATGGTAGAGAAGTTAGTTTCTCTTGTTTTCTTATAGTCAAGTCGTAGAGGTGTTAGCTGAATTTTTCAGAATTACTCTAGTGGTATTGAATATTTTTATGGGACAGTGTCTTTACTGTTCTGTTTCTAAAAAGAACGTCAGATGTTTGCTATGCTATTCAGTTTGATTTAGAAGAAAGTCTTTTGTAACACCGTAGAAGTAATTTTAAGTGTGGTTATAGTCAGAGAAGTGACTCACTGTAAACATGCCATAATAGAATGACTCACTTGAAAGCTGATAAAGGGAACAAGGTTCAGTTTCTGGGGCTTGCATGCTTTAGCAAGTCCTGATCATTTTATGATTAAGAACTTAAAAACAACAAAACAAAACACGACCCTTATACTTCTGCTTCCCCTCACATATCTTCTCTTCGCCCATGATCCCACTCTTTCAGCTACCGTTTTTAGATGTTGCTTGTGTCCTATAATGAACTGCCATTTGTTTCCAATGGTAATGAGCATTATTCCTGCGCTTTTCCTGCCACCAGATCTTGCCCTACAATGTGATCAGTGACGTATGAGCTCCTGAATGTAAACAGTATACAAATCAGAAATAAGGAAATAGATCATGCTGGGGCTCTGAATATGGAGAAGGCATGCTGAGGCAGACTGGAAGGATGTTAAGTGTGATGGTGACTTGTGATATGGCATCTTGTCTAGCAGGAACTAGAATGAAATCATGAACCTATTTGTCACAAAGCTTAGGAAAAAAAACACCAGATGGTAACAGTTTTGGATGCTATTAACTTGGGCTGCATTTGAACTAATGACCTAGAAGAGATAAGCTCTCTATCCTGTTCACTAGTCCCATTTTTATTTTGATCAGGCAATAATGTTAATGCTTCTAAATGTTCTGCTAGTACTAATGAATGTGTGGAAATATATGTCATCTGCAGTTGCTTCCTCTTCAGCTGAGATAAAGCAGGAAGGTTGTATTATTTGCTTCTCAATTAGCCAAACATAGAAATGGAGCGTAAACAACAGATGAAAAGGAGTGGGTGGAAGGGAGCGAAAGAGAGATTCTACAGAAAAAAGCAGCAAAACACTGGGGAATACAGGGGAATTCCAGTATTTGTAAGCTTTGGAGGTCATCTGAAACCTTTGGCTAAGTACAGACAGCCAAAAAGCCCGACGCTGAATCAGTTCAGTCTTCGCAGGTTAGTCTAAACTGCAGAGATTGAACTGGCAAGTAAGCAAACAGACATTCACTTTTGGTTCAGGAAATGCAGTCACATGCCTTCAGTGGCTCAAGCCAAAAGCTGGAGGGTGCTAGAGTGCAGCTCCAAGGCTTTTCCCCCCTCCCTGCTCGAGCGGAGGGAGAATGGCCAAGCCCCAGCCCCAGCCCAGAGCTATCAGGGAGGGCCTGCAGGGATTGGTGGGGGGAGTGCTTGCCAGGCTGAGGAGGGGGTGAGTGGGGAAAATGGTAGTGTCATTGAATTCATTAAAGCTTGAATAAGAACAGTCCTTTCTCTGAAGTGAGCATGTATTGAACAGAAGGGAATGCCCCTGTGGAGTCCTGCTGGCTGTGATCACAGACTACAAATCCCAAAGGCACCTGGATGCAGGAAAAGGAAGTGATGAGCAACCCTGCAGAGTCCTGCTGTTGTGGATCTGGACTGCAAATCCCAGAGACTTTGGGGGCAGCAGGAAGAGGAAGTGAACACAGCCTATTATGAGATGCTGGGGGACTCTGATTTAACTTTAACCAGGAAGGGGTCTGGAACCGAAGTCTCATAAACCAGTTTGACCTAAATCAGTTAAGTCTGATTTATCTTAAACCAGTTTCAGCCATTTTGGAACTTCTTTGTGCACCAAGCTTCTGTTCTGTAATAGGTTTAGACTAGTTTCTGAAGACTTAAACCAATTTGTGTGTAACTTCTGTCCCTAGCCTTTGAGATAGAGGGCTTGAGAGAAGTAGCATGGCATCAGTGCCAATACTCGGAGCACATCGTGGGACATTTAGCTTTAACCTGAAAAACCAGAATGTGTGGATAAGTTATTTTATGATTTGTAAACCTTAATGAAGAGTTTTAAAAAATCTGTCCTGGCTTTGGTATGTTCTTTTCCTGATTCAACCCTAAAAAACAGTGCTAGATTGAGGAACCAGTGTCTGATGCTGACATCAGCCAGCTTGCAAATGCCCATGCTTTCCACCATTTGAAGGATGAAGGTGGGATACGTGGGTATCAAGAAATATTTTTATATGCTAGTAGACATGCTTTTGAGGTCAGTAAACTGCCAAGAAGCAGTCCTTGGGCACAGATGAGAATTTTTTTTATACCCTGACCACTTTTATGCTTGGCAGCCAGATATGCTAAAAACAAATAGTTCAGCATCAAACAGTCTTGGATTAAGTCAGTCTTTACAAAAAGTAATTTCCTAAATCCATTTGCACCTTTGGAGTGTTGTATGTTTAATATAGTTTTGTCACATTTACACTCAAGCAACCTAAACTTATGGTAATGTTCGCACAAAGAGTACATTTGAAACATGATATTGCATCTCTTTGGCAAATAAGGGTTTTATTAAATTAGTAGGCTTATTTCTTAGATGATCAATTTATTCTTTTAACAGGTTTATGCTTAGATATTCCCAGAGATTCACTTAGGTGAACTTTATTTCTCCATTTTTTTCTCCCATGTTTTTATCCTCTGCCATATAACTGGGTGTGCATTGCTTATAAGTGGCTAAAACAGCACACAGGAAAACATTTTTTTTTAATCGGAGCCAATGTAATTTCATGGATTGGCAAATCCCTTCTATAGGACTATGATTAATACAGCTTGAGACATCAGGTTCCTCATTACTAGAATATATTCTCCTCTTCTTTCTTCAGAAGATTAATGCTTGCCATTTGCAGGGTCAGCCTTCTGTTTTGCTTAGGGGCTAAGATACCAAATCAACTGAAAAATCATTTCAGGGTGTTGATCCAAGTCTTATGAGAGTAACCTCACCATTTTCCAACTGGTTGGGGTATATGCCTAAATGATGCTGAAATATGGAAATCTCTAGAAAGCTGTGGCCCTGAGGGTAGCACAGCATGTTCTCTTTCAGGTTCACGTGTTCCTGAAACTATGAAACATCCAAAGCTCTCCACTAGTAACTCCCTCATCATATTCAGACAAAATTCCCATTTTCCTGTTGTCTTTGAATCATATTTTTTTTTCGTTGAAGATGGGAAAGGGTTATAACAGTGCACTGGAAAGAACTATGATAGTTTGGCTCCTATTAACCTGTTATCAATTTGGGTCTGGGTATTGTTCTAGGTACTCCAGTCGCTGTCATTTTCTACATACTTCCTGAAATGCAGCAGTGCTGTATTCACATCTCCTTAAGTAGGAATGTAGCGTATTTACCCAAATCCAAGATGACCCTGAATTTGAGGTGACCTGGAAATGTTTAGATTCTGTATATGGAAAATGTATGCATTTGTTATGATTTTCATGTAGAGAATGTAATTATTGGGAGGCCATCTTAAATTAGTTGCAGTAGGGTAGATGGTGGAGAGCCAGTGTGTGTGTCTGTGGGGGAGGAGAGGGTCAAACAGCTTGACTCCTGCATCTTCCACCCCACTCCCCTCCGCACCTTGCCCCTGCTGCCTATCTGCCCTGCCTGGTACCTGCCACCCCCTGCAGCCTCAGGTCCCTCTTCTCCCCCATCTCCTAGCTTCTGTGTCCATGTGTCCTGTTTCTCCCCCACCCCACTGCAGCTGCAGCTGTGGCCCTGCTTCCACCTGAGGCATGGAGTATGTTTTGCTCCAGCCTGTAGCAGCAGGAGCAGTGGGGTTCTGCATTACTTGGAAACTGCTAGACAGCATTCCACATGTTATCTACTGACCTGGCAGAGGACCACGTAAAATGTTAATACAGCCAAGATTTAAGACTAAGGATTGCTTGCTTTCTTTTTTTCTTTTAATGCTGGAGATTGCTCTGAGTTTGGCAGCAGTGAGTGGGTAGACAGAAGGCGTTTGAAGCATTTTTCCCAGTGGAGTGGGAAAGCTCTCATGTGCCTTAACCATTTAGATATTTCACTGAATGATCTGGCACAGATTCCTTAGGAAAACCTTCCTTCAATGAGTTTTATGGGAGGGTGCTACAAATAGCAGCATGCATTGGTGGCATAAACATAGTAATGTTTGCATAGGTTGGGGCAACTTTATTATCAGCTTAAAAGGAACGTAAGTGGTGGTGATGGTGAAGCCAAATAAAAATAAGTAAAGGAAACTGTTGAAGGTACAGTTCCTGGCTACTTTTTAAATATCTTTTCATTGCCTCTGGAATGCTTTTGTTCTTTAAGTTAGACAAATGCATCTCCTGGCAACTGACTCCCCAGCCCAGCCCAGCCCCTGGCTTGTTTACTTTTCATTCCATCCAGGAAGAGCACACACCAACTGCTGAAACTTCCTTAGCCTGACGAAGGGTTTTTGAACCCGAAAGCTTGCTTAATAACTATTCTCCAACCATTTGGGTTGGTCTAATAAAAGATATCAAATTCACCCAAGGAACCTTGTCTGCCTATATCCTTAGACCAACACGGCTACAACCTAAACCCCTGCAAATGCATCTCAACATTTTTGGACACAAGGCAGCCTCCATAAATTTTGTGAATTGAGTGGCACCTAATTTTAAAAAACTAATTTATGTATTACAGTGCTTACCTCCTTGCAATGGGGGTGGTGGATCATTCGGGTAGGGACAAGCCTAAGCCTGTGTTTCTCTTGTCTGTTTATCTCCTCACACAAAGGATCTGGTGGCTCGCTGGTTGAGAATCATGGAGTTAGAAAAAGTACTTTATTTCATTTGGACTCTCTTGGATTAGTGATAGGACAGGAGGAAAAATCTGTGCGTCTTGTTAACAGAGATATTTTGGTTAAAATGTGTTTTTTCTTATCCCTTAGGATTCTCAAATCCGTCAGAGCACAACTTACAGTTTACATCAGCCTCAGGGAAACAAAGAGCATGGCACTGAAAGAAATGGTAGTCTCTATAAGAAAAGTGATGGGTATGTAAGACTAAATACATCCTGGGAAAAAGATTAACTCTTAGAAGGCTATATATAAATTTGGTATTAATTTTACTAAAACTTGAACCACTTTGTCTTTTTTTAAACCAGAATCAGAAAAGTGTGGCAGAAGAGGAAATGCTCAGTTAAAAATGGTTTTCTTACTATTTCCCATGGTACAGTAAGTATTTGTTTATAGTACTTTATGCATGTAGTTGGTTGCTAATGCAGAAAGACAGGCTATGCTGTTCTATATTTGTCGTTAGGAATTAGCTAGATTCTTCATACAACATCTTAAATGGGACAGATGCATCTTTTTAAGGCAGTCTCAGAAAATTTCCATGAGAATCTAACAACCCAGGCACAAAATCTAAGAATTCCTCCTTCATGATTCACATCAGTGTTAATGGAAAAAAACATATTTTACTTGTCTTTCCTCCCTCCCAGCACCTCACCATGGGTGACTAAATTTGTGCTAGGTTTTTTCTTTTAAACCACAAATGTTAACTTTTTTGAAAAGATATAGGAAGGGCTTTCCTTTAGAGATGGTTTCAAGCATAACTTTGGAACCTGCAAGACAGGATTTGCAGGCTTCTCTTAAGTAAGCTTTCCAAAAGAAGCAAGATTTGTTGTCATGTAGTTATTTGGTATGAAGGTGACTTTGCTGGGGTGAGAATAAAGGAGAGAAAATAAGAACTAGCTGAGGTCCACAGCCTTAAGAAACTAAAAGGAAAGGGAGTAAAAAAACCAAACCCTTTATCTTTCCTTGGTTGTTGGTTGTAGCCGTGTTGATTTAAGGACACAGGCAGACAAAGAACCTTGTCTACCTATTTACCTTTGCTAGAAATGTATGAATACGGTTAGGTAACAGAAGTATTTTCTTTGTCCGCTGGGCAGAGAAAAAAGAAAACAAAAACTTATATTTCTGCTCTGTTAATATCACCCTAGGGCAGGGGTCAGCAACCCCCAGCACAGTTGCTGAGCGTGGCACACGAGTCCATTTTGCTCAGCACGCCACCATCAGCCCCAGATCTGGGTAGCTGCTGCCAACCACAGAGCCTGGGCTTCTTCCAGCAGGTGGCTGGGAAGCTGCAAGCCCTGCTGCAAGCAGCCTGGGCTCTGTGGTTGGCAGCAGCTACCCAAAGCCCGGGGCAGGTGGCGGCCAGAGGGTGCAA